TTCCCTCTTTTTTAAGGCTGAATATTTATCCATGGTTTGTACAGACCACATTTTATTGATCATCTGTTGATGGACATTTGGGTTGTTCCCGCCTTTTGGCTATTGTGAATCGTGCTGCTATGAACATGGGTGTACGTGTACGTTTGAGTCCCTGCTTTCGGTTCTTTGGGGTATATATCGAGAAGTGGAATCCTTGGGTCATGTGGTAATTCTGTTTATTCTTTGAGGAAGCCATACTGTCTTCCACAGTGGCTGCACCGTTTTGCCTTCCCACCACCAGTGCGCAAGCGTTCCAGTTTCTCCACATCCTCGCTAACACTTGCTGGTTTTTATTTTTTGAAAATATTTAAGTTTAAAGATGGAACTGTGGTACTGCTAGAGTAAGAAGAATTGTTGGGTTAATGAAACACGAAAGCTAGAAGCTTCGGCCTGAAATCGTTCTCTCCGTGCTCTCCAGCAGCACATCTTCCCTGTAGACTCCTGCTCCACCAGATGCCCACGGGCTGGGCCATGTCTCAGTGTCAGAGACGGAAACGCCTCTTCTGCAGACGCTGGCCACTCCCTCTTCCTCGTGAGCAGAGTGGGCAGAGGACAGGCACACTCTGACTTGTCCTCACACGCTGCCCCACCCCAGTTTTGGCTTTTGAATAAGAATAAGGCGTCTCTCTATCCCAGGACCCTCTTACAGAGTACGGGAAACCACAACACGGTCACGTTCCCAGGAGTGCGTTCCCCGTGTGCTGTGTTAGCAGCTGCTGCCTTTTGACGCGCTCTCCTCTCCACCTCGCTCCCTACCTGGGGAAACCTTTCCGTCCGAGCCTGCAGGAGAAGGCGGAGGGCGCGTGCGACGAGAGATTCGAGAACATGGCGCCATCTCAGAAAGGCTTTATTTCTTTCTCGTGGTCTCACACAGACTCAGAGGCACCAGCATTTGTTTCAATTTGGTATCCTCGTGACTTTTTGTAGTGTTTTTCTTTAAACAACAAAATTTTGAGTAAACTCTGTACATTGCCAGTTAATCTTTTAACAATAATTTAAAAATATTGTTGCTGTTGTATTATCAATGCAAGAAGACCCACAATAAAAGTACAGTACAAGGAAATTCACAACATATTACAGTGGAACAGACTGAGTCACATTTAGGTGATGGTGAGGACACGGTAGCAGTATGTACATGCACCCGAAGACGTGCAAGTCAAGTAGAATAACGTGTGGATTCTGCAGCGACTTCTCCAAGCCCACCTGAGGACTCTGTACCTTTTCAAAAATGTTGTCCTGTATCCTCTCCAGTGTACAGAATATCTATCCTGTCTACTGGCTTCATGGCTTTTTCACTACAAAAAGTTCACCAAATCAGACAGTCTGAAGCATTTAAAATTTTTTAAAAAATAGTAACACTGACAAAATGAAATTAACTTAAAACACTCTAATGCAACAAGGAAATAAACCAACCCAAAATGTAACAGTGCAAATTTAACAGAGAGGCAGTCAGGTATTGATAGCGAGGGTGTTCGGAATCTCTTAAAATGTACATTTTTAAAACTTTTATTTTTAAATCTATTTATACCTTATTTACCTTTTTGTTTAATATACTGTGTGTAAAAAAGATGGAGACAAAAATAGTTTTCTGAGCTATGAAAAAAATTAAGTTATTACAGGCACATTTACTGTTTCTTTCTAGAAACATCTCAGTTTCACAGGTTGAACATTCAGCAGCTGTGTGTTTTTTAAAAACATTCTTTGACCTTGAGAAAACTGGATCTCTCCTTTGGGGCAGAGTTTGGTTCGTGATGATGGTGTGGTTATGTGGTTACAGTGAGCTACTCTGTGATACTCCATGCAAGCTTGCGTCGCGGCATGGCTTCTCCTCTGGTGGCTCCTCGTCACCATGCTCCTCCAAGGACGCCGGGTCTCCGGGTGAATGAAGCTGTGAGGCATTGGGGGAGTGTAGGGCCCAACGTGACGGAGGGCGGCGGTTTGCTGGTCTCTCGGGCCTGGAGAAGCAGGGCTCTAGGGATGGAGCTAGTGCAGAACAAGGCAGTTCCTTCGGGGCCGAGAAAGGGAAGACAGCATTACTCAGACCTGCAGTTTCACGAGGGGACGGTTCCCCCCAACACACTTGTCAACAGACTCAAGTGAAATGGATGGACCATGGGCAACTTCTGAGTATGAATTAATATTTTGCTCGTGGAGAATAACTTAAAATGACCAGTAAAGTGTTCAACACAAAAGATCAGTGACATGAATGGGAAGGTATCAAATTATGATCAAAATACAGCAATACTGTGAGATGGGTCTGTTTCCAGAGGCCCTTCAGAATTGGGCTGGGACATACAGAAGACAGGGGAGAGAGACAGTGGTCTCCACAGGCCCCTTCATCATATTTCAACCCAAGTGACCTGCCATTTGGCTCTCTTGAGTGATCTCTTTAGCTGTAGTGAACTGGTCCCTGTGCTTTCATCCAGTTTTATTAGCAGTGAGATTCATCTTACAACAAACTCTGCTACTGTTTATTCCAAATTGACTGGCAGGAGGCTAAACAAACTCCCACAACATGGAAAAAAAATGCTTCAGGCAGAAATTTTAATTTAGATCTAGTTTTTTTAATGACTTTATTGTAGCAGCATTTTTAAAAAGTAGAATCAGAGGCCGGGCACAGTGGCTCATGCCTGTAATCCTAGCACTCTGGGAGGCCGAGGCAGGAGGATTGCTTGAGCTCAGGAGTTCGAGACCAGCCTGAGCAAGACTGAGACCCCATCTCTACTAAAAATAGAAAAAAAAATTAGCTGGGCAACTAAAAATAGAAAAGATTAGCTGGGCGTGTTGCTGCACACCTAATAGTCCCAGCTACTTGGGAGGCTGAGGCAGGAGGACCGCCTGAGCCCAGGAGTTTGAGGTTGCTGTGAGCTATGATGACACCACAGCACTCCAGCCCGGGCAACAGAGTGAGACTGTCTCAAAAAAAAAAAAAAAAAAAAAAGTAGAATCAGCGTGCACTTGTGGTTTTGTGTTACAGGTATCTTAACATTCTGAGAACAGGTGATGAAGGACACACTCAACCATGTGCAAGTCACCTACAATCCTCATTCTCAAGGTACTTTTTTTGTCTTTAAAGAATGTTGAACTACTTGTCCTTAGTCTGCATGTTAGGAAACCAGGACACCCAGACTTGGAATTTGCAGACACACAGAAATGTAAAAAGCTGTGGCATGAGTAAACTGAGTCACACAGTGTGGCCCGGATGACACTCAAACGCCGAAAGCCGAGACAGTGAACCACTGTGATTGAAAGCACAGAAGAACAACATAGAACAATGACCCTCAAAGAAAGGAAGTGAGCTGGAGGATTTAAAGAGATGTGACAAGCAAATGAAAAGACCAGAATGAAGAGAGATCAGCCAGTGGTACAGGGGAGTTGGGGGAGGGCTGCAGGGGGAGGGAAGGGACAGACGACTATGTGAATGGGCAGTGTCACTCGGGAGAGGATGGAACATGATGGAGGCAGAACAGCCTGCAGGCAGTGTGGGGCCCACGGGCTTCCAGACGAGCGATGGGGACAAGTGGTTTCCTTGCCTCCCTGTGGGGTCAGCAGAAAAGGAGCATTAACCCTGCAGACTATGTCTTAATGTTCCCTGCCTCTGTGGTGGCTGGCACTTCATATGACTGTGGGAGAGGCCTCTATTAGCCAAGCATGCTGGTGGGTGTCGTGCTAGTGGGTATCATGACAACCAGAAACACCCTCCAGTTAAAACACCATCAGCACCACCGAGGTATGAACTAGCCCAGGTACCACTGTGTCCTCACCTCACCTCACCTCAGCACACAGTACTTGGGGGGCACACAGGGTTTGCGAAATCTGCAGCAGTTGTGTCTCTGCTCCCCTTATTGTAAGAGCAGTGTGTGTCGTGTAGTGCACCTGATGTGTGTATGTGTTGGTGTGTGTTGCATGTCAGAGAGGCTGTTGCTGTAGGTTTACTGGACAACACTATAGCCCCTGTTTCCACCTGGCTGTTGCTGAACAACAACAGCTTTTTATGAGACCAGTTTGCAACCTCTTCACCAGCACCTCCTTGTGAAGGAAGAAATGTCGTGTGACCCTGAGTTCAAGGGAATGAGCCTTTTCCTTAGCAACACACCATGCAGTGTTTTCCCAAGAAGCCACCATGGTGGGCTACGTGGGCATCTCATCCTGGATGCTGCCCCTGTAGCACCTGTGTTGGAAATGGCCTTCCCCATATGTTGTCATTTTTTTCATGGAGACACATCTGTTGTCTTTTACAGCTGACTCATACTTCCAGTTAAGGCCAGTGGATGAGGTGGGTGGATGACTATATCCTTGATCAAAAACGAAGTATGTATTTTCTCATGTGCTTTGATTCAGGCTCTGAAAGCAGTTCTCTAGATATCTGGAGTGGGGCCGGCATTGTTGTTTACTGATTCAACAAATATTTATCGAGCACTTACTCTGTCACCTATGGTGCTCACTTGGAAGGACAGATATATTTGGATTTATTCCTTGGGGTATGGTTGTTGAAAAAATGAGAAAAATCTAATCACATTATGGTCACACCTCATTTCAGCATGTGGCACTGCACATATGTGACCAAAATGCTGGTGAGCAGGTGTACTGGGCTCAAAGTCCCCCTCAGGTGAGACCCCTGTGCCTGAGATGTCCTCTCCTGGCCAATATCTCACTTCTCTGAAAGCACATTGGCTGCAAACTACACAAGAGGGGAAATCTCAGAAGAATCACTATAGCCTAAAAACCTTTCTCTGCACTGAGTGGTCACCCCTTGAGTGGGGCAGATGGGAGTGTCCAGCCTTGCTGGTCTATTCCTGGGGACGAGCCAGCCCCCCAGAACCTGGGGTGAGCAAGGGAGCACCTCCTCTGGGCACAGCTTCCTCAGGTGATGGGTGTGAGGTGCCATCCATGAGTCACACAACCTCTCCAGACAGTTGGGAAACAAGGAACACAGCACTTACAGCATGAGGCAGGCAGGGCTAGAGTCCCCAGGGGGCAGTTAGTAAGACAGTTTGGTTCTGGACAGAACAGACAGAGAAAGAAAAGAAAAGCAAGTAGGTTGGAAAGTATTTTTCAAACAGGAGAACAGTAAAGATTTAAAAGTCAACAAGCCCAGTGGCAGAGGTCCATCCCTCCCGGTCGGGGACAGCCACCAGGAGACACTGGAGGGCTCTCGGGTCCAGCACATTCACCCCGCAGTGGGTGTGGGGAAGTGGCTGGCGCTCGGCACAGGTCTGTCCTCTGTCATCTGCCACAGAGCAAAGAAGGAACCACCATGGAAGAGCCACTTCTGGTTTCTGTGCTTCCCCGAGTTGCCCTTTAGCATTTAACATTTCAAACGGCATTTTGGCAAAAAAAGAGATGGAAATCATATGACTGCCGTATCTGAAACAGAGGCCATTATATGGGCAGTTTTGTTTGGGTCACAATAATCAAACGGTTGCTGCTTGTACTAAAAATTTCCCCTCACATTTTCCACTTAGACATGGGAGGAAAGAACAGCATTCCATTTTCAGTTCATTCTTTCTCTGTGCACCAGAACTCCTTCTCCCAGCCTCGCTCCGCACTGCTGAATGGTGCCATGGCACTGAGAGAAAAAGAGGCCCAAGATGCTTGTGGGGTGAGAGTGACGTGAGAAAGGGAGATTTCCTGTTGCCTAAGTCACCCCTCTGTCTAGAACATTCAGGGAAAGATTCCACAAGAGGGTGCTCAGAATAGGCTGGGAAACCAGAAGCAGCCCTGGTGATTCTGGAGTGAAAACCTACAACTACTACATAATTATGGAGAGATGGGAAGGGGTCATCAATGGGCCTAGTATGTTACATCAATCAAACAGATAATTCCACTGGAATCTAGAACAAGCAGAACACCAACAGAAAGGGGAAAAGAGCCCGTGGCGCACGGACGCCGCCACTGAGTGCTCCACGCAGGTTCTGAGTCCCTGAAACTGTCTGCGCTCCCTTCAAATCATCTCTTCTGGTAGCAAACACCAAGTGAGGAGAAAATCTAAATACTTACTTTACAGAGGACAAAGGCGGCGAGGGGGCAGAGCTTTGTGCTGATGAAATCATTGCCATGCCACAGTGCTGGGATTCCGTCATTAAACCATTTTCTTTATATTCTCACAGACTGCTTTCAGCATTCACTGTTAGTAACTCGAAGCAATTTTTTGTCCCCCCAAATTAATTTCTATTTAGTCTCTAATGTAAATGGACACTACAGACATGGCCACTTAATGCTTGGACTGAGCCCTAATTTCAGCTGCCCAAGAAGGCAGAGCATTCACGTGTGAACAGATCTTCCCACTGCAGGGGTACTTACCTGAGGGCCCAGGGGGCTGGGCTAACAGAAGCTCTAAGAAGATATCATTTGTCACCTGAGAACACTCAACCAGCCGTGGGGGTCCTTCTCAGAGCATGTCAACAATGTTAGCACAAAGACTCAGATCCTTGGAACGAGCAGGCCATGTACTATCAATATTGTTTTAGGCTGAACCATATGGAATGGCCATTTCTGTAAGTCACTGGGCATTCCCTAAAGTTTGTTCTATTCAGATTTAAACTCTCTATTTCAAGTTAAATATTCCTTGGTGGGTTGGACCAGGAATCTGACCATCATCTACATTCCTGTGGGAAATTTGGGCCAGGTGACACAGGAAACACACTTTCCTCCTCTCCTCCTCTGTGACCAAATTCACGGTTGATTGGTTTATGAATAATGTCAAGGTGGATAATGATAATCATCATCCTGTTGTAAGGCAGGATTTTGATTTTATCCATTTGTTTCACCTGGTTTTATTGCTGGGGGATTCATGGGCACAGTGAGAGTGAGTGAGCTGTGAGATGCCGGTGGCCATTTGGTACTGATGCCAGCCTGGGAGTGCAGGTGTTCTTGTGGTTCCTGAGAGATGTGCTCGTGTCCGTGCGGTCCAAGCCTCTCCAGCTCAGCTCCCACATTGTTACATACAAAGTCTGGAGCATGCAGAGGGCCCTGACACAACGCTTACGGAGTCCGCACACATGCACAAATCCCTACAGAAGAGGGCAAATTATGACCCCAAATGAAAAGCCCAGATAGGTAAATAAGGATCAATCACTCAGACCAGAGGACAGAACCTGAATCAAACCATGTCCTCAGCGAGGACAAGAAAACGCAATTTTCTTTAAGAAGTCGTTTAGGGTTTGTGTTTCTGCCTATTCCATTCTCCCATAAACCCAACACCTCCCCAGTTCCCAACGACCAATTATGGACAATGGTTCCTGAGATTACATGACCGGGCACAGTTCCAGGCCCCAGCATGCCTGACAGCTAAGTGGACGCACTGGTCGGGGAGGGTGTGGGACACTCGGCATTCATTACCTCCATGGACCCTGGCTCAGCCGCGTCCCCCAGCGAGTGGCTGTCGCTGTTAAGACCTGGGGGGCCGTGGGCGGCCTGCCTCCTCTCCTCCTTTAAGGCGTGCTCCAGCAGCTTCTTGTTGAGGATCCGGGCCACGTTCTCCGCGAGCGTGTAGCCAGGCGGCGCGGATAAGTCCTGCCTCACAGGCGTGCCCTCTCCCCCGTCCTCCCTGCACATCTCTGAGCCCACCCCACTGGGGCTGGGCGACCTTCCTGGGGAACTAGTGCCCGTTTCCTGGCCTGGGCCCAGCTCTGGTCGCGGTTCTGCCGAGCGAGACCGACTGCCGGCCCGCGTCCCCTTCTGGAAGGGGTCCTGCACCACGGGGCTGTGGTCGATGATGTTGAAGAGGCTGGAGAGGCCGTCATTGATGGTGGTGTGCACGGGGCTCTCCCTCGTGGTGGTGGAGCGGGCCCAGGCCGACTCGCTGTACCCTTTCTGGGCCATCCCTGGTGAGGTCCTGTTATTTGGCTGGTCAGCTTTGGGGAGGGGCTTTCTCTGCAGCTTGGGAGAACCATACTTGGGGGAGCAGCATGTGCGTTCAAACTTGGCCTGTACCTTTTCGATGGCAGGGGCCACCTGCCTGCTCCTAAGGCTGCGGGAAGGAGACGACACGGGCGTGGTACCGCCCCCTGCCTTTGGCGTGAGACACTTGTGGGGGCTGCTGGTGACACCACTGCCACGCAGGGCTTCAGTCTGCAGGCCCACGCTGATGGTCTGGGTGGTCTGTGTCCCCATCGTCCGGGACCCGTTGGTCTGGCAGGCCATGTCCTTGACTTGCGGCTTGGTGGAACCAGAGCAGATGGCATTCCTGACGGAGAAGGCCACCTCCTTCATGTCATCACTCATGTTCTTGGATATCTCCAGGCTGTGCAGAGGGGAGGCAAACCCCAGGGAGGCACAGAGGGGGCTATCAAGGGGGCGCCATGCCCCTTCCACGTAGTCTCTGGGGTGTCTAGGGGGAGTGCAAGGCCACCTGCTGAGCATGGGTTCCAGAGGGCCCCCCTTGGCGTCTCCCAGGCTCCCTCTGGCTCTGCTTGTGGGAAAGGGACCCTCGTTGCCCACCGTGGCGATGCTGTCCACCCTGCGCACGGCAGGCGGGCTGTGCAGCACGCGCACCCCGGACTGCTCAGTGAGGACGTGGCTCCTCAGCGGCTGCTTCTGGCAGTGCTCTGGGCTGGTCATGGTGTCCGTCGTCATGGTGACGCTCGTGGTCAGGTACCAGGAGGAGTCGGGGAAAGGCTCCGTGGTGGCCTCGTGCCCTGTCGGCCCTACCTCGGTCCTGTCTGCCCAGAGGTCTGGAGGCCTCTCGGTCCCAGCCCCGCCATGGCCCCTGGGGGGCGTGTAGTCCCAGCTCTTGCTGTTGAACTCCTCGATGTACTTGAGGTCGTCAGGAGACAGGGGTGGGGTAACATCCTCCTTGGCACTGGTGGATGGCAGCCCCTTCTCAGGCAGGAAGGGGGAGATGTCCATCAGGCGCTGAAACTCGGACATGGAGGACACAGACACTGCCCTGGGAAAAGTGGAAGAGAAAAGGTGTCAGCATCCACCAGGGAGCCCCCGACAGCACCTGCGTCCTGCCGTGTGTGAGGACCTGTGAAGGCGCCTGCCCCCACCTGAACTGTTAGGACGCCTTCCAGCCGCCTGCTGTGCTCTACTCAAGAGCTTACCCCGTGGATGCTCACTGGACTTTCTATGGCTCTGGACTGTTCCTGAAGCCTTGTATTGGTCAGAATCGAATCCAGCCAAACCTGCCAACCCTCACATCCTGTGGAAACGAGTGGAAGAGGGGGCTACACGGCACTCATGGCTGAACTCCAGACCGTGGCTCGACATCTCCACCGAGATAAGCACCTTCAGTGACAGCCCTGCTGGCAGTGAGGAGCGCCAGGCGCCATCACAGTGCCCGTTCCATGCAGATGGACACCCCGCCATCCCCACCTACAGTGGGCCAAGGTATAAGGGGCAGGGACATCGCAACAGAACAGCTGTCATCTCAGGTCTCTTCGCCCAGCTAATGTCTGTAGGTCTGAAGTACTAACGATCTCCAAAGGCTGCTTGGAAGTTGTAGAAGAAAGGAGGAGGTGGAAATCCTAATCAGACTAGAAATTACGTGCCAAACAAAAGCTCGTCTGGCCCGGCCCAGATTCACCAATGGGCTCAGTTCCTCATCACCAATGTTTTGTTTGTTTGTGCTCCTCCTTTATTCCTAGTTAAGAGAAAAACTCCCTCAGACACATGAACACACTGAAGGGTGAAGACAGGTGGGCCACACCCACAGCAGGAACCGAAGGGGCCCCGGGGATGCTCCTACGCTAAGACAGGAGGTGGCTGGAGGGATCGGGCAGCCGCCAGCCACCCAGGGCAATGGAGCGGTGGTCAGGAAGGAGGCTGGGGCTGGCTGTGCCTGCCAGCTCAGGGAGAACTTCTGTGGCCCGGAATCCCTCTGGCGGGGAGGGGAGAGGTGAGGGGTCTGTAGACTCACTGTCTCGCAACTAGCCCCGTTTCTCATAGGACATATTAATATTCCCTTGCCCTGCACAAAACAGGTTTAATACCTAGAGTTCTGGACTGGCGCTGGCCCTGCCAAAGGGGTCTCAGACTGAGTGCACAGACCACTCCTACGTAGGACCCATTAATGGCTATGAGGCCAGAATTGGGGTCCTGCTCTGGGCAAGTCTGTGCACTGTGTGGGCTGGTGCACGGAACCAGCAAAGCTCAGAGTGGCTTTGCTGACGACTGCCTCCACCCTGCGGCAAGGCATGCACTCTTGTGGTTGCCACCATGGGGTGAAAGAGCAGACTAAAAGTGACACTGTCAGGCAGTTCATCTAAAAACAATCTGCTAACCGTCCAATGGTGCTTTGAATAACAGCACACTGGCTATGACCAGTGCTGGAAATGAAAGGAAATCGAAGGGATGCATTGGTTTTTCAACAGGGTCTTGAGCTTTCCAGCAAATATGAATTTCCTCTTTTTGCTTCTGGTCAATTCAAGTAGTTATTGAATTAATAATGAGTTTTAGGATGCCATGCACTGCGGGCTGTAAGTGCTCGACAGATGCCGAAGCCCTAGTCCTTTCCCACTTCTGTGGATGTGGCTCACCTCACTGCCCTTTTGCCCACCGAGGAACTGCTCTCAGAGTTAATCAGTGGCACCTACATGGTGGGGACTCTGTGCCTCCGGAGCTTGGGTGGACAGAGTGGAACGGATATGACGAGGACAGAGGAAGGAGGCATCGACCTCAGTAGTGGCCAAAGCAAACAGAACAATAACGACAAGAACCAGGACGCACGGGGAGCAGCGCGGGCGCTGGCAGATGCGGAGGCGAGGGCACTGGGGAGACACACCGAGCGGTTAGAAGCCAGGGGGAAAAGGGGACAGTGGGAAGGGGGCGCGTTTAGCTTTCACTTTGGACATTTTGATATTATTTATTTTACAGCAAGCATGGATTACTTCTGAAATTAACATAAGCAAGTAAGATTTTAAAAAGCAGCTACAGTGCAGGGAGGAAAGGAAAAGGCTGGCAGCCTGAGTGGTGAAGGAGTCGCTGTGAATCGGACTCACGCCGGCGTGGACGCCGCTGTGAATGCAGGGAGAGCGCGGGCTGGACTGCTCGCTGTCTGCTCTGTGCCGGGTGCTAACTTGGTTATTTAATGCGCACTGACACACGTACACTGCCTCCTGATTACAGATGGGGAAACTGAGGCACCAAGCATTTAGTAACTACCCAAGGTCACGTGGCTAGTGAGAGTCAGAAGCAGTTGGAACCCAGGCAGCGTGGCCATAGGGCCTGAGCTCTCAAGTCCTGTCTGTACCGCCTGAGAAGGACAGAAACGTGCCAGGGGCACCTCTAGGTGCTGCAGGGATTTGACAGAAGGCAAGTGCGAGGGGACAGTGATTCACAGACTCAGAAGTCACGGGAAGATCAAGGCTGGGGGGACCTGAAAATGGCAAATTGCCTGGAAAGAAATTTCCTGTAGTGAGAACAATTTTATTCATCTGGAGAATAAAGAAGAAGTAAAACTAGAGGAAACTGGACTGGGAAGGAAAAATTGGTATATAGCTAACATCAAAATCAATCACTATATATTTTCTTAAGGACTATTGTCAAAATATTTTAATAAATCATCCTAGTGGAGCCTTTAAATACAGTATGTAAAGTGTCTCATAGCGTATCAAGAGGGAGTTTTTCCAGACTTCGAATGAGGAGAGAGAGGTTTCCATGGACTTCTCCAAAACCACTAAACACAAGCACTCCTTTGTATACCTGACAACACTGCAACTGGAATGTCCTCATCACAAAACTAGTACACACGGATGCAACCTGTCTAGCCTTTGTTACTAGTAATCAAAAATACCGTATTTATGAAACGAAGAATCATAAAGCAACCACTTATTCAGAAGTCTTAATTTCAAGTCATTTTGAAGAGAGAGTTAAAATAGACAACATCTGTAAGATGGAATTTTAAGACCAAGAGATTTTTATTTCAGTAATCTATTATTTTCATCAATCTTACCTTTGAAGATTTCCCTTGTGATTTTCTTCTTCCTGTAAAGAAGAAATAACTCAGTCTGAATCAGGTAATTGTGGTTCCCTAGGAGCCCTGAACGTGCTGAAGTGATTTGGTTGCTGGGCTCCCCTAGAAATGCGCGCAGAGGCCAGCGCTGGTCAGGAGAGCTGCTGCCACCACGTCCTTTGAAGCACAGTCATCAAAGCAGCACCCACAGCATGACGAGGGGGCTGGAGCTTCTGCAGGCCAGGGAGGAGCCCACATGAGTGAGAAGAGTGGGCTATAAACTTTGTCATGGAGGAAGTGGCTCCTCTGTGCTTCTTCAAAGCACCTCAGTAAGTACCTGAATTTCAAAGCTGACTCTTGTAACAACCTGAATAAGTCTGAGAGTGTGTGTCTGTGCGCGTGTGTGTGTGTGTGTGTGTGTGTGTGTGAGAAAGAGAGAGAGAGAGAGAGAGAGAGAGAGAGAGAGGGAGAGAGAGAAGGGGCGAGGGAGAGGGAGTAAGATAGACTAACTTAGGAGACTGATGTCCCTTGCTCCAAATCTTGCTATAGAAGTTGGTGTGACATCCTTAGGCTTCGGTACTTGCTTGGGTTTAAACATTCCCATTTAGAATCAGAGGCAAAGTTACGGTGCCTTTCCTTTAAGAAGGAGAATGACAGCTGTTCTGGCAGAGAACAACATAAACACGAGGTTACCTATTGAGAAAGCGCCCTTGTGCTGACACAGTTTAAGACGCAAGCCTTCGGTAGTAATGGAAACATACTCCTCAGGACGCTTCCCTTGGTGAGTGTGCCCCTTGCCTCTGCCATGCACATGAGTATGGCAGTCCCAGCCACTGCAGAGCTAGAACTTAGACACAGTCTCCCAAACCCAGTCCTGTGTTTTCTCTGCTATGAAAATGGCCCTGCAAGATTGCCAAGAGGTTGAACAGGGCGGAATCGTGGCGACGTCCTCTCAGCCTGATACATACTTCTGAGAACAACGCACTTGACCTCGCTGACATGTAACTGAAGTATAATTTCCCCATATTTCAACGACACTATATGACATGAACTCTTCTCAGTATTAATTGTTTGGGAGACCAAATGACAGGTGTAGCAGTTGTTGAATATGATAAGCAGGTAATGATTCCTAAAATCAATTTTTAAAATGAGGTTTTAACAATGTAACTACCACTGTGCCATGGAAATTTCAGTAACAGCTTAGCTCACTCATTTGGTAATCTAATGAATGTAAGATTTCTAAGTGTTGGATTTTTCCCCTTTCCCCAGAATAAGATGTTTATAGTATATCATTGTTTAGTGATATTTGTTATTTCCAAATGTTAGGAAATGTCTCTAAAACATATTTTTTTTGGTTATTAGTTTTCTAGAATCATAAGACTATACTATGATTTCAAGAAAAGTTGAACATACACACTTAGCAGAATTATTTACTTCCTCTTGTGTGTTCTGTGGGACACATTTATTTGTGAGACCTTCCTTTCACAAAGGACATTAGTTCAGTATTTCTAAACCCAAAATAAGCTGGCAAAACTAAACTCACTGCAGAGCACACTAGGAGTTTAGGGTCAGGGCCACCAAGCAAAACGCTTAGTGTTATGAAGGTTTCATTCTTACTTATAATAATTCAGAGGTTGCCATATGCAAAAGCCACTGGAGCCTGCAGGGAGGGGGACGTGACGGACGCCGGCTGGGTTTAACACTCCCTCACTGTGAAGTAGTTAACCAGGATGGACAAGACCCAGGCTGACCTCAGGGAGGCAGTTCCTGAAGTCCCTCTCAGGCCGGCGGGGTGGCGGCTCCTCTGGCTCGTCATCCAGGGACAAGGCGTCCAGGTAGAGGTTCTCACTGGCCGAGCACCTGTCTGACTCCTTCAGCTTGGACAGCGGCCGGTCTTCAAACGGGATGGAGTCGGCGTCTGCGCAGGGCCACAGTGCTGCAGGGTGGGGCATGCGGAGGCTCCCCTGGTGGAGAAAGGGGCGAGTGCTGCCTTCGTTTTGATCACAGAGGAAACTGCCGCCTCTCTGGGGACTGTTCTCTTTCTGCAACTTGAAGGTTTTAAAAATGAAAATAATTAGCCTCACTTTTCTAATGGTCTCCCTAAGACCATCTTTTCTCCACTATTTGGAATTACCTATAGGTCAATTTGAAAGACTCTGGAAGAAGCAAATGTTCTCAAGTTCTGACCTTAATTTTATAATAAAACACAACATTACAAATGCTTTAAAAAAAAAACCCTCAGTTTTATCTGGATTAGAAAATCCGCATTAACCACACACAAGTATGGCCAACTCTTTCTGGCGCCAATATAGAAGTTATTGTACATAACTTGAGTGCTGTGCTCATGGGAAATTCTATACTTATTTTTTAAAAATATGATATTGTTAAACTACATGTTCAACACTCTTTTTGAAGTTACCTTCAGAACCTAAAGCATACTAAATGAAATGCCATCAGTGGTAGCCAACTTCTGAGGGTGAATCTGATTTTCCTGACTGGCCCCAAACCATTAGGAACAGGTCCTATAAATAACCCCAGTGATCAAACTGGGCTGTAACCATTTGGTGTTAAAAACAACTTATACTTTGCTTCAGAGGATTAAAACTTAGCTATACATCCAATAAAGGGCTGATAACTAGAATCTATAAAGAACTCAAGCAAATCAGCAGGAAAAAAATCAAACCACCCCATTAAAAAGTGAGTAAAAGACATGAACAGAAACTTTTCAAAAGAAGATAGACTAATGGCCAACAGACATGAAAAAATGCTCAATATCTCTAATCATCAGGGAAATGCAAATCAAAACCACAATGAAATATCACCTAATTCCAGTGAGAATGACTTTTATCAAAAAGTCCCAAAACAACAAATGTTGGCATGGATGTGGAGAAATAGGAACACTCATACACTGCTGGTGGGACTGCAAACTAGTACAACCTCTATGGAAAGGAGTACCTCAAAGAACTAAAAGTAGAACTACCACTTGATCCAGTAATCCCACTATTGGATATTTATCCGAAGGAAAAAAAAAGACATTCTATAAAAAAAGACACTTGCACTTGAATGTTTATAGCAGCACAATTCACAATTGCAAAGGTGTGGAAACAACCCCAGTGCCCACCAATCCATGAGTGGATTAATAAAATGTGGTGTGTGTATACCATGGAGTACTACTCAGCCATAAAGAGTGGTGAACTAATACCTCTTGTATTATCCTGGATGGAAATGGAGATCATTCTTCTAAGTGAAGTATCACAAGAATGGAAGAACAAACACCACATGTACTCACCATTAAATAGGAACTAATTGATCAACACTTATGTGCACATACAGAAATAACATTAATCAGAAATTAAGCAGGTGAGGGGGGAGGAGGGGATGGGTAAATTCACACCTAATGGGTACAATGCACACTATCGGGGGGATGGGTATAGTTATAACTTTGACTCAAATGGTACAAAAGCAATTTATATAACCAAAATGTTTGTACCCCCATAATATTCTGAAATTAAAAAAAAAAAAAACTTAGCTATAAAGGAAAGTAAAGATCTGGCATGACTGAGGAAGAAAAAACCACATATTTTATAGTCATACTGTTTTTGCCTAATTTGGTAAACTCAAGAAGTGGTGGTGGGAAAACACAGGACCTCTTGGAGTCAGAAGACATGAATTGGAACCATTGATTTGTGGCTTGCTGGTTCGCTGGCGGGTGTTAGTTCCCAACTCTCCTCAGCTCAGTTTCTGCATCTGTAAAATGGGGACATGCACACAGCGACCAACAGGCAGCCATGCCGGCAGGGGCCTCCCACTCGCCCCTTCTGTAGCACTGGCAGCTCCGTGGAGGTGGTCCAGGGAGGGGGCCTACCGAAGTCACAGGAACTGCTGAGGCTGCAGGCAAATGGCTTGCAGGAACGTGCTCCTCACAGAAGCCCTCACGGGCTTCCCTGCCATTCCCCAAGCCCTCCTCATTGCCTCCCTTTGCAAACACGCACAGAAAGCACAGCTGAGACCCGCAGCTCTGCCCACCTATGAAGCTGTAATGGGGTCTTTCCTGGAAGACAAGCTCACACTCCTGGACGGGTTGCTCTTTTGCATAAGTGAATTATCTGAATGCTGAAAGTGACATTGGGATTTGACCTGAAAGGGTGGCCAAAAAAAGATTTAAAGTCCTCAAGTGCTGAGATGGTGCCAGGAAATTCTAAAACTCCCTTGAATGCAGACCAATTGGTTTTTAAAGAAACATCATTACAAACTGCATCTTTGTGTCCTAATTTGAGCCTTCGTCCACAAGTTGGATGTAAGCACGGCTTGTGTACAGCCAGGAAAGAAAGCCATGCGAGATAACGAGGACAATAGGACTGTCACTCATTTTCAGTAATTTCTGAGGTAGTGGAACAGAAGCCTCAGAGTATTATCCTTATTTTATGAGAAAGATGGAGATTCAGCAGCCAGAGCTTATATATGAAGAGTTCGAGGCAGTTCCCAGTCAAGTTAGGGAATGAGCAGATCGCTCTAGGTGTGAGCCCAGCCCCTCTGCTCTCTCCTCCCCTCCCCATGACACAATTCTTTGCAGTTCTCTTAAAGATACTAAATGCTTTCTTTAAAAAAATTAAAAGGAAGGCTTTTTATATGTTCATTTAATACATGTCAGCACAATTTAGTTTCAACACGTGATCATCTCCAAGCTATTTTGGGCAAGGAATTAAAATGCAAGAATCCCATTTGAAGCTGTAAACGTGCACTGAGGGTGTGGGTGACGAGGGAAAACGGATGACTAAAGCAGAGAGCTACGAACCAGCGCTCTAACTCAGTAAAGTGGAATTTCAAAAATAAACCCAGGCAGCCAGGAGCAGCTTGCACTCAAGCTGGTAAGTGTCAGGTTTCCTAAAACGCCCTGGAGTGGCTGTAGCTGGGGGTATGTGCTGCTAGGATGCCTCTGGGGTGCTGGACTAGAACGGATCCTTGGGCAGATAGGGCTTCGAGGGGACTCCTTTCAAACCAGCGTCAGCACCTACTGTACTTGCAGTCCCACAGAACAACTTTTAATGCAAATAGAGAATTTTAAAGATTTGCATTTCAAATAATACAGGAAACAATAAACCCTCAAGAGTGTCACCTTACCCAGACGGGTGGAAAGAAAAAAAGGTCACTTTGTAAATAGGCGTTAAGAGAATGTCCTTTGATGCGGTAAAGGCAGCTGATTTAAGAAAGTTGCTGGAAGGAGAGCAGACGACACTATTTGCTGGATAAGTTGGCAACTATCTGCCTGTCAACTGGGAACGCATCAGTTCTGGGAGAACTGCAGTGTGACAGATGAAACATGTTCTATGACCTTAGCCACATTCCCACAGTCATACATCACATAGAATGCCTCATGTGGTGTAGAAATTACGTAGGAATTTAATGACACCGGACAAGTATGGAGCATGTGTTCTGAAAGTGGAAAATGGATTTAGTGTTACTTCTTTCACAGTCTGTATTAGGTTATCATCGTCAAGGTTACATGGCTTACCAAGTAGCCAAATGTCGAGAGTATATATTGTGAAGAATGTTCGGTTACATCTCTTGTTTATCTATGGAATGTGTAGCTAATAGTTAAATGAATGGACAACCCAATGACTGACAAACAAAATCTATATACACCCATACACACTTGAGCCAATTACCTCTTTTCAGACATTCTAGAGAATGCCTATAATCTATAACTGCTTTATTTAATTTTCAGGATTGGGCACCAAGATTTATAGTCTTCTTTAAAAATGTTGAATATTTTTGGAAAAAGGCCAGATTTACTTTTGAAAGCCGCAATTGCACATCTGAAGCATCAGTTCACTGGTAACCAGTCCTCTTCTAAAAACAGCAATGAAATCACCCACCACACAGATTTCAGGAACAGATGAATGCCTGAAATGCATGTGTTTCAGATCCATGATGCTCAAACATGTCAACCTTGAGGAATGGCCTTCTGAGGCTGTCAGTGTGGTAGAAATGTCTCAATACTGACAATTTGCAAATGAAGTTCAGCTCCAGAACACTGTTACCTTTCCAAAATACAGTCTTAAAATGAGGTGACGGTTCACCTTTAAGTCCCTGACTCTCCAAAAGTTGAGTATCATTGGATGTGTCTTACTAATTTTTCCTTTACTAGAAATTCCTCATTCCCAAAAGTACAACAAGAACCTAAAATACTTGCTTAACTTATATCCAAGGTGTGACTTTCAAAACAAATGAAGCTTGTGACAAGACCAAAAAGATGGCTGATAGGCAAAGGGGACCCTAGAAGGGCCAGGCAGGGATCATGATGGCCTCATGGGGTATGGGAGGGACACAAAAAGTCAATGATCCTAAAGCAAAGGCCAAGAAAGAAGCCCCCTGGTGACAAGTTTCCTGGAGTTTCTGTGACACTGGTCAGCTAAAGTTGGATATGATTAATTCCTGACCATTTACATAAGAATCCATGCTACTTCTATCCCTAAAATTTCCACCTAACAACTGACCCATTCAATAGAGCACAGACACACAGGGGATTTAATATGGGAGACTCTTCACAAGTGCTGCATTTCCAAGCCAAACAGGAAACGACCAACTTTCTTCTTGATAGGATTTGGGGAATTTTGAAATGGAGCCATATCAAAGATCAGCAGTGTGACTCATCTATGTGAGCGATCAAACCTAGGAGAAAGTTCAGCTCCTTCCTATCTGCAGTGTACTTTCTTCTCAGCGGTCTCCAAGCCACAGGCTCTTGGTCTCTTTTACCATTCAGTTTGTTCTCTCTCCCTCCCTATCCCACATTATGCTTAAACTGAACCTTTGTCATTGTACCTACATAACACAAGTGCCATGTATGTGGATAATAGAGCACATTTTTCAAAAGGCTCCCACATAAGCACAGGCAGTATGGGTATTTAAAATAGAGTAATGAGGTTATTTTTCCTGAACCCAGTTTCTTACTGATTAATACATTTCCTTGAGGCCTCATGAATTTATAAAGTATGACAGGCTGAAATAAACAAAATGTATGCTATATAAAAATCTAGCCAGGGAAGAATTCCAAATACTGGTCAATTTAATTTGTGCATCACTCAGGAACTACTGCACATACGCGAACTGTTCTGTGTCTGATGCAGTGCAGAGCATGGTTATCTGGGCAATACAAAAACAACTCCCCCCAAAACTCATCTGAGTTTCTGAATCACTTGTTCAGCTGAAGATGATGAGCTACCTCCCTTGACTGTGGCCCTATCTAATCACAGCTCAGCAATATCCACAGCAGGTACAATCGCCAGCAAACAACCTGACTTCAACTTATTTCAGCAGTTTCTTTACTAATGACGACAATTCCATGCAAACTGAAACAGTCACTGTGACAATATCTTTAGTGTAAAACTTAAAAGGTAGTTTGCTTTTTGGCAGAAATCATTGAATAAGACCTGAAATTACCTCCTGTTTCAAGGTTAGTTTTTAAATTCCTTTAAAAAGCTATCCCCCTCCCACAACTCCCCCTTCCCCACATGAATGCTCCCAGGAAAGTTACCTGCAAACTTTGCAATGCAAACCTCTGTGTAACGGAGGGGCACGAGCCTAGGTCTCCAACACTAGCAATTCCAGTGCTTCTCCCTCTTCCTCTGGACGCCCATGAAACATCCTGATGCAGCAAGGGCCATACAGCAGCCTGATTTTTTCTCTAAGTGCTCTTGCTTTCCAGGTCCATTTAGTGGCTGCACACTCTGCCTGTGCTCCAGCGCCTGGGGTGCGTCCTTACCTGCTCTATCTTCCACAGGAGTTCCTTCTTCTGCCGCTCCCACTCCTGCCGATCTCTGTCCAGGCGGTCGAGAAGTTCCACCTTCTCCCGATTCCAGTTCTTCTCGCTGTGATGGATCTGCCAGCGCAGGTCCATGACCAGGCTGTGGCTGTCGGCCAGGAGCTTCTGGTGCACCTCCCTCTCCTTCTTCAAGATTCCTTTGCTCTCAGAAGAGCCTAGTTCTCCCAAGTTGTTCTCCGTCTTCTCTTCCAGCTGTCAAAGAGAAAAGACTTAGGACCTCCCTCCCTGACAAGTCTTGCATTTGAAGATGAGAAAAATCTCAGCACATTTACATACGATCCCTGGAAACATGTTTACACCAATATTTGGCCAATCCCATGGAAGAAACAAGTTTCATTTTTAAAGTCCTAATTAAGAACATTTGACACAGTCACACAGAGTGTTAAGCAATGAGTCCACTTAGCTTCCCATGGCCAGTCCCAGCTCCACTTTCCTAGTCTAAGTCACTACTATCTCTTGCCTGTACTTCTGTGTAGCTCCTTGGGGACAAGTACCACATCTATTCCTAGATCCTTAGCCCCTGTGTAGAACCGCGGGATGGGACAGTGATAGAACCTAATACTTTTCAATAAATGCTTGTCAAACACCCAGGAGGTTAAATATCAAGAACAAACAAAATCTTACACCTTATGTATTCAACGTGGTAAAAACCAAAGAGAAAATCTTGAAGGCAGAAAACAGAAAAACGTTACATTACATAGAGGAGCAAAGATCAGAATGACAGAAGACTTCGCATCAGAAACTATGCAGGTCAGAAGATGATGGAGGGACAACCGAAGTGCTGAGAGAAAGATGTCAATCTAGATGGAATTCTACACCCAGCGACAGTATCTTTCAAAAATGAAGGAAAAACACTTTTCAACAAACAAAAATTGAAAAAAATTATTGCCAGTAGAACTGCAATTTAAGAAATGACAGAGGAAATTCTTCAGGTAGAAGGAATACGATACCAACAGACACTGTGATCTGCATAAAAAGGAACAATGGAAATGACATAAATAAATATAAAACTAATTTTTTTCCTATTTTTTAAGTTGCTTTTAAATATAATTGGCTATTTAAAGCAAAAATAGTTGCAATGTATTGCGTGTTCAGAGAATATGTAGAAGTAAACTGTGGCAGCAATAGCACACAGGACGGGAAGAAGGAATTGGGAATATAAGAGTCTCACACAGCCCGTGAAGTCTAATATGACTTCAAGGTAGTCTTTGATTAAATATATATTATAAACCATAGGGCAACTATTAAAATTACAAAAACAAAAAATTCCAATTTCAAACAGCTCCTGGCAATCCCCATAAGCCAGAGTGAAAGCTGGGGTGCAAGACGGGGTGCTGAGCCTCTTGCAGGTCCATCCGTTCACCTGTAGACGCTTTCCCAGCGCCTCGTCTCTAATCTCCTCCCCAGGCAGCTTGCCCCTGCCCCTGGCAGCAGATGGCCCCGCTACCCTGCTTTGTTAAGATGTGACGGCGAATTCCTTCTCCTACCCACAAACCCCTCTGCATCCACACTCCTCAGGTGTCTCATGGTCAGGGTCACCTTCTCCCCATGCTTGGAGCCCAATCCCTCTGCCCACTCAGGGATCCTGTGTCGCCAATAACCCTACACAGTTTAGGTCTCACTTGACATCTAACAAGACGGAAGCCTCCCGTGACCCTGTGGCCCCTGTTACTTTAGCGCCTGCCCCCTCCTTCCTTCTCCTTCACCGTCAGACTCGCTTCTCTCACTGTCGGCACAGCAGTTTGCTTCGCCCGCACCCCAGTGAAAACTGTTCCTGTCAAGTTTTCCAGTGACTTCTTAATTGCCAAGTTCAACAAAACTTTTCATCCCGTATCCGTCTTAGCCTCTCAAAGCTTCCGACAATGCTGAACTCCACTTGGCATACCATGGTGTCGCTCCCTTTGGCGTCTGAGACATTTGCTTCTGGTTTGTCATTCATTTCTCTGGCTGCTCCTTTCCAACCTCCTCTTCCTCTACTAATTTCTTCAAAGTGAATATTTCAGGGTCCTTCTTTGAGCTCCTCTTACTCTACACAGTTCTGGAGGTTCCACCCACAGCCTTGTCCTCCACCTCCTCATTCACATCTTCAGCCCAGCGCCTGTGATGACACCTCAAATCCAACCCTCTCCATCCCGTCTGGCCTCTCCCTGCGTTGCTGTCCCAGTGACGGCACCACTGCTGAGGCACCCGGACCGGAAGCCCGAGAGCCATGCAGGTACCGCTGCCCCACAGCATCTCACTGTTGGCCACCAGGTCCTGCCACTCTGCTGGTTCCGGCTGTCGGCTGTGTGCCCGCTTTCCACCGCTGCTGCTTTCCCTCAGCATCGCCCTTTCTCGCCCGACTGCTGCAGCGGCCTTTCCGCCTCCAGCTCCTCTCTGCAGCCCAGGGCTCCTGCACCTTCTTACCGTGGGCCCCCGTGGCAGTCTGGGGGAGCTAGAGGTCTCCTCAACGTTAATTTTGGGATATCCACAACGATTGTAATGGGAAATGAAAAAGTCTGTGATTTCTTTGGGCTTGTTGCCCACTTTATAACTGGAGGACCTGCTAAATTTTAGTAAAAGCTTAGTGAACATAAAGATATATTTTTTCCTATTCTATTTCTGAAGTCTCCTGATTTCAATGTACAGACCCCAGGATGATCCATTTAATTCTAATGGTTCCTAATCCATTTCTACCTTGAAGCCAGAATAATCTTTTCAAAAAGGGAATCTAAACTTCCATGATAAAATCAAGTTCAAAGTATCAATTCTTTAAACTCTCTGCTTTCCCCTCACACCTGGGCTCCTAAATGGGCCATCCTCCTGTCTTCATGGTGTTCCTTTTTTGCCCGAAACTTCCTTTCCTCTTCCATGTACTAACTCCCATCCATCCTTTGAGATTCGTTCTCAGCAGGACTTCCACAAACAGCCTTCTCTGATCCCTCAAGCTGAGGCATGTGCCCTACACACTCCCATCCCCGACAGTATAAGCCTGGTGGCACCTTCCACCCTGTTTTAAATGCCAGCCCTTGTCTGGGTCCCCACAGCTCTGAGAGCCCCTTCAAGGAACATCGTATCCGCTCAGTATTTAGAACAAGGTCTGACTTCGCAGTCTGCTGGAAGACTCACAGGTTTGGGGAGTGACACGACATGGGCTCCACTGAAGGAAGGTGTTTAACTTTTAGCAGAATCAAACTGTTTTGCATCTAAGTTGAAGAGGGCGAATATGGGACTATTACGATGGACCAGCATCAGCTCACATGCATTGCTTCCCGGGCTGTAAATGTTTAAGAAACTTCTGGGCAGAAGATGAACTCTTTACCTATTACTACCTGGCTTCTAGGTTTGAAATCCTAGCTTTGTTGGTATTTAGTGATTCTCCTTGAGGCTTTATTTGCAGCAAACATGTGGGTGGATACTATGTTCTCCTAAACAAACATGAAATGTTTAAGACTGGCTTGCATCAAAGATGATGCCTCCTTTCTGTAGCTACTGTTACATCTTTGAAAATAGTCAGCTCCCCCCACAACATATTTTTAAATAGGCTTGAAGGCAGCTCATCAGAGAGTGTCCTTACTCACTCCCTCCCCTGCCTCTGCAGGCTGAGGACCGCACAGAGCATCTAGTGGGCAGGCAGTGGGCAGGACCCGTGACCGGGTCGGCTGCTCCGTCATTGGATGGGCCTGGCCTGGAAGGCTGTGTCCCTGCTGTCTACCCAGGGCTGCTGGCCTGACACCACTGCTTGCTGGGGCCAGGTGGCAGTGCAGGGGAACTTGTGGGTACCGGGAGAGCTGTTTTCTTTTGACGCGACAAGCCTTTCGAAAGGCCATTTGAAAGAGGTCTCCTTTCTGGGCAACATTTTTCTTTCACGTGCAGGCCAATTCCTATAAAATTTTAATTACTTTATGGTTTGCCTCAAGACGGAGCCTAGAGAACAGATGATGGAAGATACACGGACCTTCCCTCCGCCTTCACGTCAAGGGGCTGGAAGAACCCTGGGAGACGATCGGGGCAGCACACGCTGGGTAGGAAGTCACGTGACTTTTAAGGCTTTCCAAGAAGAAAGATGTAGGAAAGGATGTTTCTTGCTATGTCTGATCTCGACTCGTGTGGCCGCGGGGTGAGACCTCAGAGGACGCTTCACTCCTGTGTGAAGGGGGCGGGAAGCCTGGGCGCTCCTCTCGCCCCGACGCTGTATGGCGCTGTGCCCTGACGAGCTGCTTCTGTGGGCCTCGGCTTCCTCGGGTGTAAATAAGGAGACTGAAATTGAGCAGGCTTCTTGGGCGTGCAGTGGAAGGTCTACAAGTTCTTTTCAATATTTTGAAAAATCTAAAGGAAAGCACGTGTTTGCCTTTTTCAGAGATAACTAAACCACGGTCTGCTTTTGCTTGCTCCTGTCTAGAATGTGTCATCTCAGTCTGATGATGCTTCATGCTGGCCAACCTTTGCTGGGGCTAAATACAACCTTGTTTAATTCAGAACGGGAAAAAATGCTACTTTTAGAAAGCTGCTTGGTGGAGGCTGTGTCTCATATTTGGGGGAGGGAGTACCGGGGAAAGGGGCCTTGGGAAGGCTGGGCACTTCAGCGAGAGAGGCACGCAGCCGCCGCTCTGCTTCCTCCTGGACGAGGGCCCGTGCCCGTCCCTGCCTGCCCCGCACAGGAAAGACGCGGTGGTCAGGAGCGGGGTACTAGCAGGGCAGTACCTGTTCCAGGCGGCACTTGAGCATGGCCCACTCCACGTCCCAGGCCGCCCTGTCGCTGGCGTATTGCTGCTGCAGCCGCAGCCGGGCACGCTCGTCCTCGCGCAGCTCCGAGCGGAAGTCCTCCAGCAAGGCCTTGAGGGCGCTGAACAGCTGCTGGTTTTCCACCACCTGTGGGAACACTGAGTCAGGCCCCGCCACCCGATTTAAGAGTATCTTTAGGTCGGAAGAAAGGATCTGGCGATCGAGGCAGAGCTGGGGCTGTTTCCAGGTGCCACTGGCCAGGGTGCAGGGCAGGTGCGGAGTCTGCAGTTAGCGGGAGAAAGCAAGAGGGTCCCCGTTACTGGCCATCGGCCTCCTGTGGCTGAGACTGAGGGCCTGTTCCGTCAGCAGGCTGCCCCGGCCACTGGGCAGCTGCATTTGGAGGCGGGCACTTGGGCTGGCGCCGTGGGACCCCGCAGCAGCAGTGAGGAAACTGCAGGAGGCCACAGGGAGCCCCCGAAGGCAGGACTGCCAGGACGCTCTGTGACTTCAGGCGTCCAGAGCTCTGAGTTGGGCTGACTGGACTGTCGTGGGAGTACAGATATGACGACACATACACTCACCTACATACGTGCTGTTACGCTAGTGCCAGCCGTTGAGCTAGAAGGAATTAATAAAGGCCTGGGGACTTTTATAAACATAGGGCAGTCACACTCTGACTTACAGTGACGAAGAGGCCATACATATGACAAGCATGGCCATTGGGGGTGGGGGTGGGGTTGATGTTTAACAACTAAAGCCAAAAGTGAAATGCTGCATCTGTGTGTTCATGAAGGCTTCGTTGTGGTCCTCCGACATGGAATTACCAGCCCTCACCTTTCTGCCTCTCAGGGCCCTGCACGTGATTTGCTAATCGTGCGAGTGGCAACCGCCCCTGCATGCTTCTCTCGTGCCGGCCCCACCCTGCCACCACTCTGAGCGTCTGGGGAGAGACAAGCCTGACGCACCTGCACGTTTCCAGTGGCTGGCACAACCCCGGGCTCGTGTTAAGCGCGCACGTGTGTGGTCAGTGTAGAATGGATTTTATTACTAATCTGATCATACCTAACTTAAAAGATTTTGTATTTTCTAAAAACTGCCAGCCCTCTGAAGGCAAATTTCAAAGCCATGGTTTCTATGTTCACACACATCAGCAAGGGCATTATGTTAGAAAGGTTTGTCCAGATGCATGAGGCATGCCGAACTGGTCGTGGTACCTTGGTAATAAAAGCCACGTAGGCCGTCTCCTCTAATCAGCACTAAGAGCACATCTCTCAGCGCAGGCTCAGGGCACTCTTGCTCGGTACATCTATGAAGCAGGTGGAGTAAAAGCTCTACTCTGGGAAGAGAGAGCCCCACACGCTCACACAGAATTCCCTGCCCCATCCCACGCACTTGGTAAACCTCTCCTGCCTGGTTCAGCAAGTGCAACGGGCACCCCTCCCTCGGTCATGCTGCTCCCTCCTCAGTCATGCTGCTAAACCATCTAGTGGCCGGGTGTGGTGGCTCACACTTGTAATGCCAGCACTTTAGGAGGCCAAGGCAGGAGGCTTGCTTGAGGTCAGGAGTTCAAGACCAGCCTGGACAATATAGCGAGACCCCGTCTCTACAAAAAAATCTTAAAAATTAGCCAGGCATGGTGGTTCGCACCTATAGTCCTAGCTGCTCAGAAGTCTGAGGTGGGAGGATCACTTGAGCCTGGTAGTGTGAGGTTACAATGAGCTGTGATGAAGCCAGTGCACTCTAGACTGGGTGACACAGCGAGACCCTGTCTCTAAAAAAAAAGAAAAAACCCAACCATATAGTTTAATCCACTAAACTTACACAAAAATGGCTAAACATATATGGGAAGAATTTAAGATACTTTGGATATGTGTTTAGATTTAAATAAAGTTGGATTAGAAAAGAGAAATTCTTTAACATGAGCAGACTTATTACTGAAAACTCCTTAGCTGTCTCATAATTTAATTGAGAAGTTATACTACTAGATATATTATATCTATTATATCTAAGTTACAATATTAGATACTTTTGATGGAACAGAAAGCCCTATTTGTTCATTTTTCTCACCTTAAACTCCAAATTTTACTTTAATAACTCTGAGAAAAAAGGCATTGAGAGTATAATTCAGTTAACACTTGAAAAACTCAGCAGATAAGGAACCATCTACAAATCTTACACATTCTTTCCAACCACCCGAATAATAAATTACCACTATATTCAAAGAGATGCTCATAAAATGTGTGAAGTTGTAACAATTCTAGTTTTTCAAAATTCCACATCAAAAGTATCTAAAAATTATATAAGTGCAGTTGAGTGAGAAGAGGTGTCACAGTAATCTTTTCAGAAATACACATCTTCATACAGAATCTGTTTGCCAAAAAATTACATATATTTTATGGTAGAAATATACCATAAAATTTGGTATTTTTATCTTTGGATTTTGAATTAAAAAATCACTACTTTTTGAGTCAAGAGCATTTCAAGCATAAAATAATTCTATAATTTTGATCCAATCTTTGGCACAGTCATCTAATTTTCACTGAAAAGAAAGCAGAAAATCATTTAATACATTTCTATATGTAATCAATAGCTTTCTACGAATCCCAGGTTTCATATGGTATCAGCCTGTGCTGTTCTTAGCCTATACACCACATGACTGCTGATAACGTTAGAGTCAGAACTTGACAGTCCTTTTGCAAATTGGAAATTTGGGTTTTCTGGAAGCAAGTACTTTTTGGCATTAGCAGATACCAGATTGAATAAAATTAAGCCTTAATGTTTTCATGCACATTTTGAGCAGAGTAGTCAATGTAGGGTTCTATTAAACCAGGATAATAATATCATGGAATGAGCTCCAGAATTGCTCTGGGGTGGAGGCGGCCAAAGGGAGCGAGAGAGCCCAGAGCCAGTGCTGTTGGTACTTGTCATGACAGTCACCCAATTGCAGTGAGTGGCATGGCAGGAAGCCAGGCCAGTTTCTGCCAGGAGAGCACAGCAGCGAGACTGCAGGTCCATGTCAACATTTCTGAAGACCCAGGAGGAGCTATAAGGGCATGAGTCTCCTAAATGTGAAAAAACAGAACTGATAATCACTAACGTAAGTTGTTTCCTATGGGCTGGGGATGTGCTCAATTATTTGCCTACATGACCTTATTTATATCTCAGATCGATCTCGGGTACGATGATGCTCCCCATTTACAGAGGAGGAACTGCAGCGTGGAGCAGCTGAGGGGCTGCCAAGGTCCCCCCGTAAAGGACGTGAGAGCCCGGACTGTAGCCCAGGTCCCCCTCAAAGACAAACCGAGCCAGGAATATTCGAATTCTGACATTACACCCTGCCGAGGCTTTTTTGTTTTTTTTTTTTTTAAACTTTGCCTTAGAGAAACCATCTAAGCCCTGTGAAACTGATTTCATCTCCTATGTCAAGGGAAATAATTACAGTGAGCCATCCTGAAAGAATACCGAAAGGTTAACTCCTCTCTCTTTTTCTCCTGGTGGCACCCCTTGTTGGGCTACACTTTTGGTAAAAAAAAAAA